AAGCAGATTCATTTTTTCAACTATTATACGTCTCCCCGTTCGAAGAATCTATTTGTGTTTACATGTTTACATGTTTACTTTTCGCTCAAACCATGCAGCTCCAAATTAATTGTACTGCTCCATTCCTTTATTAGCCTTCACCCAGTGTAGCTAGGCCCTCCTGCCTCCCCGTGGCCCAATGGGCATCTTCTGGTTCTTGTCACCTTCATTTACCAGGGCCGTCTTCACCAGGTTCTTCTTCAATTTTCCCACTTCGTGCTTCTGGTATTTCGGCAATTGGAACTCCCCCTCAAAACACGTATACACATGCACGGTCCAGCCCATCCTCGCCCTCGATATCGGCCCCTTCTTCGTCTTCTCCAAACTGTTCTCGCCGTTCTCGGCCCAATCTGGTTCTTGTTACTCACACTGCCAGAGATGGGCAACCTTTGCTGGGACATCAATCTTCCGGAGTTGCCGGGGGAATTGTCAATCAGGTCGCGCTCTCCCCTCGGTCTTCGACTCCTACTGTTTCTTTTCACAAACATTTTATGGACCAAGATGATAGTAGGTACCATTTGTGGATTTTCTTTACATTTTTAGACTCAATCTGCCATCAAATAGTCCCTAAAATGCGTTCAAATTGAGCCTCAATCAAGCATTAATTTTATAGTGATTGCATTATAAATAACAGTGTCTGACAAACTATATGATAAAGACCCACAGAGGCTAATTGGCTACACTAACGTCTGATTGGCAAGCTGATTTTTAGGGCCTACATGTATGCACACAAATCATGTGTCCAAATCGAGTAGCCGAATTTCTCTGGTATCAAGTACATCTTATGCGAAACAGGTAAAGGACTGTCCTAGTGAGAAATTAGGTTAGAGAAGGTACAGTTCGATCACTTTTTTGGCGTTATTTGACTCCTTCCTGTTTTATTTAGTTCTGCCTGCTGGACACTTTATTTTTTTCTATTCTACTATCATTACACATTTTATTTTAGCTTCTAATTTTCTCGTTATCCTTGAAGTCCATATCTGTCTTTTGGCATTACCTTACGATTTTCGTTTATAGGTGTGTTTTGGGACCTACCAGTAGATCTTATACAAGTGTTGTACTCACCCTATTTCGTTTAAAGTGACGAAGAACTAAGTTTTAGCATAACCTTACTTCATGCTTCTTTGCACTATCCTTTTAAAGGATTTTCTTTTATTTCTATGCTAGTGGTTAGCTTTTCGCACTTTGACTTTTCTCATTTCGTTGCTACCCCCTCGTCGAGTCGAGGGGGTTTATTCCGTCTGCACATGCAAATTATCCTATCCTAAGATCATAAGTTATCGTGAAATTGCTTATATCTTTCACACTTTATCGATTAACAAGGATCGGTTTACAGTACAGTTCTGAATGACTTCTGCCCAGAGGCACCCACACTGTGGTTATGCCGTGAGATTTTTGGCTATTTTCGCCTTATTATAGCATATAATACACTATATATTTACTCTTTTTAACCGTCTCGATCGCTTTTATTTAAGAAAATCTTTGTAAAATTGGCCTTGACAGTTAGCCTGTTTGGGAAAACGCAAGTTTTAGTCAAAGGCCTCGTTGTCATAGAGGTCGATAGCCGACGGCAGAATGCCAAGTGCTTCTTTGGTATCTGCCACTAAGGTGGGAATCCTCTTGACTTGATGGACCATTTAGGTAAGCCGAGGAGCTAATTTCATTCATAATGGTGAAATAAAATGATCTCAAATGGTTTGATTAAAAGATGGCTAAAGAAAATCTTCGGTGAGAGCTCTTCATTATACATTTCATTATATCCTTTTGTGCTGGTTTCGTCAGAATTCTTGATGAATAGTAATGAGTGATGCTTGACATCTGTTAAGCCATCTCAGTATGGAAAAGGGATTTGTGGATTGGGATGCGGAGTGGTTACTTGAATTGCAATTGCAATTGCTTGCTGATAGTCTTCTGCCCATTTCACATGTTTGTTTTTTTCAAAGAAGTGGGGCTCCAAGAGATTCCATCACACGCATCTAGACGACTCGAGAACACCCTATCACACAGACACCCTCATTTTACAATTTTATGTAGTCCTGTTGATTTTTCCTCGTTATTAGCCACCATAAGTGTGATTAAATCGCCCAAATCAATGCTAAGGTGGGAACCTTAAAATTTTACTTTATTTCTTACTAAAAATACCTCTAAAAATAATAACTAAGTAA